TTTATTTATTTATTTATTTATTTATTTATTTATTTGACAGAGAGCGAGTAAGAGAGGGAACACAAGCAGGGGGAGTGGGAGAGGGAGAAGCAGGCTTCCTGCTGAGCAGGGAGCCAGATGCGGGCTTGATCCCAGGACCCTGGGTTCATGACCTGAGCCAAAGGCAGATGCTTAACAACTGAGCCACCCAGGCACCCCGAGAAAGAATCTTAAGCAGGCTCCATGCCCAGTACCTGCGGAGCCAGCTAGGGGCTCGATATCACAACCCTGAAATCATGACCTGAGCCAAAATCCAGAGTCAGACTCTTAACCTACTGAGCCACTCACATGCCCCAAAACCGTCTTCTTTAAGGGAAGGTTTTTGAAAATTAACTCCATTAAAAAGAAATAGATATGGTACTATTCAGATTATTTATCTTCTTCAATGAGGTCTGGTAGTTCGTGTCTTTCAAGGCATTTATCCATTTCATGGAAGTCGTTGAACTTTGTTTCCCTAAAACTGTTCATGATAGTCTCTTATTTTTTTAGTGTTTGTAGGATCTGTAGTAATGTCTTTTCTTTCATTCTGATACTGGTAAATTGTTTTCTTCTATTCCTGGGAACTTTATCTAGAGCTTTATAAACTTTATTGATCTCTTCACACAACCAGCTTTTTGTTTCATTGACTTTTCTCTATTGTTTTTTTCTTTCAAACTAATTGTGCAAAAAAACAGAATGCTGAAAAGTCATGCCATAAGAAGGGGGAGAAAAAGAAAGATCAATCAAGAAGGACAAACATAAATCATATAATAAGATGGTAAATATAGACCCAGATATATTACTATCTATATTAAATGTAAATGAAGAACACAAAGAACATTTATAAAAATCAACTATATACTGAGCCATAATTCAAGATGCAACAAATTTTTAAAGGAATGAAATTGTACAGATTGTGTTCTCTAATTAAAAAGGATTGGTGTTGGAAATGAATAATGAAAGAGTCCCTAGGTAATTCACAAAATGTTTTGATATTAAAAACATATTTCTGTTTGTTTCTAGCCATGATGCAGTTAATGGGTTAGGTTTATCCTGCTACTGCAAATACCTAGAAAATCAAACAAAATATTTTAAGTAGTTTTCAGACATTAGATTAACAGGCATCCCAGGATTATGATCCGAAGAAAAAGAAAAAAAGTGAGTCCTAGGATTGCATTAGCTCATTGCCTAGAGGCAGATTACAGGTATCAGGTCAAGGAGGGCACACTGAAAAGGAGCCTAGTTATCTCTCTGAGTTGAGAAAACAGATGGAGTACGAGGAAGCCAACCAAGAAAGCTCAAATTTGTAGGGCAGAGTACTAGAGAGGACATAAGTCAGGGGAGAGGGAGAGAAGCAAGAAAGGAATGAAGTAGTTCCAGCAATTTGCTGCGGGGCTCCCCTTGAATCTTTGGGTAAGAATTGATCTGTGCATATATAGAAGGAAAATACTCAAGGCTAAAGAAAGAATCACCAGAACACAGGACTGAGAATAGTTCCTATTTCCATCCAGTGAGAGCAGAAAAACCTTGTCATCTGGCATAGTTCTCAGGCATCATCACCTTAGTAATGGGAATATATTAGACATGTACTAAAGCTTAAAAAGGCTCAAAAGCAAACCTCAAAAGTAAAAATTTGATTCCAGGTAATTTAATCTCATGAAGAGTAAAGTACAATACCATGTAAAAGAATACAACAAAATCTAGCACCAAGCAATATAAACTTCACAATATACAGCATCCATTAAAGAATTATGAGGTAAGCAAAGAAGCAGGAAAATATTATCCATAACCAGGAGAAAAATGGATCAATAGACCCAAACCAGAAATGATAAGATGATGGAAGGAGCAGATAATGACATAAAACAGCTATTATATATAGAGCCTTTATGCCTAAGAATATATAGAAAGACATAATAAGAATGAGGAGCAAAATAGAAGGCATCCAGAGAGACCCAAATGTGCCTTCTAGAAGTTAAGGAAAAATATTTATATGAGCTAGCATATACTAAATGAAAAATATACCTCATGGGGTTAATAGCAGAGTAGAGACTGTAGGGAAAAAAAATCAGTAACCTTGAGGACAGATAGAAATTATCCAAAATGAAGCCAAGAGAGAAAAAGGACTGAATAAAAATGAACAGAGCACTAATGGGATAATAGTTTGGAAGTTCTTCTAGTGGTTACCCTAGAAATTACAACATGATTATTTGACTTTCAGAATTTAGTATTCATCTTTATCTTGTACCTGTTCGTGGAAGATTTGAGAACCTTAGGACACTCTTATTATGTATATGAATATATAAACATATATATATGTATATATGTATATACACACGCACATATACTCACGTATGTCACAACGCATCATTTCTTGTGTGTTTTTTGGTTGTTCCTTGTGATTTATCCACGTCCTCACCACTTTTTAAAGAAAGTATTTTTTTAGAGAAGTTTTACGTTCACGGCAAATTAAAAGGAAGATACAGAGATTTTCTGGATACTCCCTGACGCCACAACTTATTAACATCCCTTACCGGTGTTGTAAATTGGTTACAGTACATAAACCTACAGTGACACGCCATAATCACACAGAGTCCATAGTTTATGTTAATATTCACTCTTGGTGTTATACATTACGTGGATTTGGACAAATGTATAATGACATGCATCCATCATTAAATATTATACAGAGTATTTTCACTGACCTAAAAAATCTTCTGTGCTCCAGCTATTCATTCCCCATCCTAACCCCCAAAACCTGGCAACCACGGTTGCTTTTACTGTCTCCATAGCTTTGCCCTTTCTAGAATGTCATGTAGCTGGAATTATATAGCATGTATCTTTTACAGATTGATTTCTTTCACTTGGTAATATACATTTAATTTCCTCCATGTCTTTTCATGGCTTGATAGCTCATTTTCTTTTTAGTGCTGAGTAATATTCTGTTGTCTGGATGTGCCACAGTTTATCCATTCACCTACTAAAGGACATCTTGGTTGCTTCCAAATTTTGGCAATTATGAATAAAGCTGCTATAGAGTGCCGGGCTGGCTCGGTCAGTAGAGTGTGTGACTCTTGATCTTGGGGTTGTAAGTTGGAGCCTTATGTTGGGTGTAGAGATTACTTTAAAGGCAGGGGGAGTGGGAGAGGGAGAAGCAGGCTTCCTGTTGAGCAGGGAGCCCGATGCGGGGCTCTATCCCAGGACCCTGGGATCATGACCTGAGCCGAAGGCAGACGCCCAATGACTGAGCTACCCAGGCACCCCTGTTAGTGATTTTCTAAGAAAACCAGTTCATGCTAGCAAACCTCTAGTGACCATGCATGATCTACTCTTATTTTGCTCTGTGTCTAGCACATGATGAAGATAAGCCATGACGTGGTTAAGCGCTGGGTCAACGAAGCCCAAGAAGCGGCTTCCAGCGACAACATTATGGTCCAGGTACTGCCATTGAATCATATTGGGTCTTGAGACCAGCTTTCTTTAACCTTCCATCTTAGGGGCAATGTATTGACTTCCCAGATGTGTACTAGCTAAAGGCTAATATTGAGCAGCCTATTAGTACATATTCTCAAGTAGATATCCCACTGATTAGAATTACTGTCTGAGGCCTTGAGAGTGTTTTGTAAAAGCTGTAGGAATGTTCAGGAAGGATTCTTACGTTCAGCGGTAGTTGGAGATGCTCATTCCAAAGGTCCTTCATGCTGCATTTCCGTCCTTTATTTGAAAAGCAATTTGTGATGAAGGATGTCCCAGTTCTAAGCTTTTCAGAACTTGGTTATGGTAGACATTACACAAACAGTGAAGAGTAATTTTTATTTTGTGAAACTTAAAAACCATCTTGTTGGGCAGATCTTTTGATATTCATTAATTCCTAATTAAAAGGAACAAGATTAAAATCTTAATTGGCAATTTTGTGTACTTGAGAGGATACTTATTCATCCCCTTTCAGTGTTTACAACTTCTCATGTTAGCGTATTTAGTTATGCGGAAATCAAATAGTAATTTTTCCCTCAAGAAACATTCTCGCTTTCTTAACTCTGATCATTGTGTTTTTACACAAAGGGCCATGATAATTACATTCCTTAAGCCTGCTTTAGGAGATTACTCCTTTAACTACTAACATGGCCACAGACGACTTAAAGCCACTAACAGAGACCTGTGACACTGGTAAAGCCTGGGACCCAAGAGCCTTTGTACTAAGGATGTGTGGGGCCATGCTGAACCTGCTAGAGCCATCTTCGGATTGTATGTCACCTCTTTGATACTGCTTGTCCAGTCTGAATCTTTGATTTCTGGGGGTGAAACTCATAAGAGTTTCTCAACCTTGCCTGTGTTTGATTCAGTATGAAAAAGGTATTCTATTTGTATACATTTGACTTGGGTATCTTTTTACTAAAGTGCCGTATGATTTTATTTTCCTGGGAGTTTGTCCTCTTCCTCCTCAGCTTTCTGTGTGTTACATCCTTTTTCTTGTCCTTTAGTACCATGCATTGGGAGTCCTGTATCACCTTAAGAAGAACGATCGGCTTGCTGTTTCTAAGATGTTGAATAAATTTACTAAATCTGGTCTCAAATCACAGTTTGCTTACTGCATGCTGATCCGAATTGCCAGTCGCTTACTAAAAGAAAACGAAGAGGGGTAAGTGTCTTCACCTAAACCTAAGTAATTTTCTGTTTGCTGGTTAACCTACTTCTAAGTTTATTTCCTTTATGAATATTTTTTTGGGTAGCGCTGATTTTACAGATGGATTTGGTGTTTTCCAAATTAAGAAAATTCATGGGATTCTAAGTAATGCAACTTTTTTTTTTTAACCTTAACGTATGCTCTGGTATATGTATTTAATAGATTACGATTGCCAATAATAAGAAACTGATATTGAACAAAAAATACTTAGAGATCATAAGATGTGCAATAATGTGAAAGCTGGAAGTGACATGAAGAATCTTGCTTGTTCCTTTTGTTTTTATAAAAGAATATTGAAGTGCTGCATTTAATGATTTATTTATTTAAAGGGCATGAAGGAGGAGAAGAGAATTCCACATTTGTAAGGCTCTTATATTGTTCATGAAGTAGTGTTATGTTATTTGATGGTAGACTGTGATAATAGAAAGATGAATATTGTAATCTCTTAAGTAACCACTAAAGAAAAACATAGGAGGTGTAGCATAAATGTCAACAGAGAAGATAAAGTGGAATATTAAAAAAATATTCGGTTGAGCTTCCTGCTTCTGATAATGGTGGAGTAGCTTGGTCACATTAGCCCACTGCAAATACTTATATCATTGGTACAAAACTTTGCCTCCCCCCAAAAGTAGGAAAACCCACCACTATTTGAAAGTACTGGTGAGTGGTGAAAAGCAGGCAAAAACTGGAAGGAAGTTGATGTCTGAGAAGCAGAGGCTATACTAGGTGAGATTTGTGTATTTCTGGCTAGTCTCCAGAGATCCCACAGTTCCTAGATGTGGGATCACAGAAAGCCATAGTATTTACTGGACAGAGGGGTCAGAATATAGTTTGAGATTGGAAGAGTGATGAAAACCTATGGTGGAAATCCTGGAAAGGAGGAAACCACAATTGGGGTAAGCTCCGAAATCAATTTCAAACTCTCTAAAACTCTGTGGTTGACCACAGATCTATACGTGTAGAGGGGAAAACTCTAGGAAACCTGACTAACAGTAGCTGTGAACTGAAAGAACTGAGTGGAGATTCAGCTGCACCTCACTCACAGCCAAAGAAATGAAGTTTGGAGTTTGAGCCAGCCAAGTTAACTGCCTGCTAGAGAAACATCAAATTTCTAGAGTCTTTGCATCCTGTCATTCACGATGTTTATATACAGTAAGAAACTGATAGAAGTGCAAAGAGTTTGGAAAATGTGACCAGTAGTTAAGAGAAAAACCAGTCAACAGACACTGACTCTGATATGACCTGGACATTGGAATTAGCAGACAAAAACTCTAACAGGCTTATAAAAGATGCTTTCAAGAGTTTTAATGGGAAATAGTTATAACGAATGAGCAGGGGAAATGAAAACTATAAGAAGGAACTAAAAAGAAATTCCAGAGCTTTAAATTCCTTGTTAGTCAGAATTCAACCAGAAAAGCAGAACCCATAGCAGATAAATATATAAAGAGATTTATTACAAGGAACTGGCATTTGCAATTTGGGAGCTTGCTAAGCAAGTCCAAGATCCTTAGGGCAGGCTGTCGGGAAGGGAGGATATCACAGGCAGGTGGGAACTCATGGGCACAGGCTGAAGCAGCTGTCCATTGGTGGAATTTGTCATCTCACATTTTACTATAAGCAGCAAGATGAAACCAGGTCACACCTTCAACACTTTCCTTGGAAATTCCCTCAAGTAAAGAGTCAGGTTCATCATCTACAGGTTATGGTTTCCACAAAACTGCAGGACAGAATTTTGCTAATCTGTCCACTAACCTATAACAAGTATCCACTTTACTCCAGTTTACAATAACTTCTTCCTTCTGTGCTCTTACAGGATCCTCCAAGACTGGATTTCCCCCCTCCCCTCCCCTCCCTCCTTCCTTCCTTTTTAATTCCAGCATAATTAGCATATAGTGTTCTATTAGTGTCAGGTGTGCAATATAGTGATTCAAGAATTCCATACATCATCCAGTCCTTATCAGAACAAGTGCACTCCTTAGTCCCCATCACCTATTACCCCATCCCCCACCCACCCCCTCTCTGGTAACCATCAATTTGTTCTCTATAGTTAAGAGTCTGTTTCCTTTCCTCTCTTTCCTTTGATCATTTGTTTCATTTCTTAAATTCCACATATAAGTGAAATCATATATTTTTCTCTGACTTATTTCACTTAGCATTATACTCTTGAGCTCCATCCATGTTGTTGCAAATAGAAAGATTGCATTCTTCCTTACAGCCGAATAATATTCATACACACACACACACACACACACACACACACACACACACACCCCGTCTTCTTTGTCCATTGATCTATCGATAAACACTTGGGCTGCTTCCATAATTTGGTTATTGTAAATAATGCTGCAATAAACATAGGGGTGCATGTATCCTTTTGAATTAGTGTTTTTGTATTCTTTGGGTAAATACCCAGTAGTGTGATTACTGGATCATGGGGTATTTCTATTTTTAACTTTCTGAGAAACCATAAATTCCATATTGTCTTCCGTAGTGGCTGCACCAGTTTGCATTCCCACCAGCAGTGCATGAGTGTACCTTTTTCTCTACATCCTCACCAACACTTGTTATTTCTCATGTTTTTGATTTTAGCCATTCTGACAGGTGTGAGGTGGTATCTCTTTGTGGTTTTAGGTTGCATTTCCCTGGTGATGAGTGGTGTTGAGTATCTTTTCATGTGTCTATTGACCATTAGTATGTCTTTGGAGAAATGTCTGTTCATGTCTTCTGCCCATTTTTAATTGGATTATTTGTTTTCTGAGTGTTGAGTTTTAGAAGTTGTTTATATATTTTGGATACTAACCCTTAATCAGATAGGTCATTTGCAAATAACCTCTCCCATTTAGTAGGTTGTCTTTTAGTTTTGTTGATTGTTTCCTTTGTTGCGCAGAAGCCTTTCATTCTGATGATAATCCCTATAGTTTATTTTTGCTTTTGTTTCCCTTGCTTTAGGAGACATCTAGAAAGATGTTGTTACAGCCAATGTCAGAGAAATTACTGTTTGTGCTCTCTTCTAGGTTTTTTTATGCTTTCAGGTCTCATTTAGGTCCTTAATCCATTTTGAGCTTATTTTTGTGTATAGTGAAAGAAACTGGTCCAGTTTCATTCTTCTGCATGTAGCTGTCCAGTTTTCCCAACACCATTTGTTGAAGAGACTGTCTTTTTCCCATTGCATATTCTTGCCTCTTTTGTTGAAGATTAGTTGACCTTATATTTGTGGGTTTATTTCTGGGCTTTCTATCCTGTTCCATGAATCTATGTATCTGTTTTTGTGTACTACCACACTGCTTAGATTGCTACAGCTTTGTAGTATAACCTGAAATCTGGAATTGTGATACCTCCAGCATTGTTTTGTTTCGGGGTCTTTTGTGGTTCCATACAAATTTTAGGATTGTTTGTTCTAGTTGTGTAAAAAATGCTGTTGGTATTTTGATAGGGATTGCATTAAATTTGTAGATTGCTTTGAGTAGTATGGACATTCTAACAATATTTGTTCTTCCAATCCATGAGCATGGGATATCTTTCCATTTGTGTTGTCTTTAATTTCTTTCATCAGTGTTTTATAATTTTCAGAGTACCGGTTTTTCACCTCCTTGGTTAAGTTTATTCCTAGATATTTTATTATTTTTTGGTGCATTTTTAAAGGAATTGCTTTAATTCCTTTCTGTTTATTATTAGTGTATAGAAATGCAGTGGATTTCTGTACATTGAATTTTTTCACATTGCGACCTTACTGAATGAATTTATCAGTTCTAGTAGCTTTTTGGTGGAGTCTTTAGGGTTTTCTATATATAGTATATGCAAATAGTGAAAGTTTTACTTTTTCCTTACTAACTTGGATTCCTTTTATTCCTTTTTCTCATCTGATTACTGTGGCTAGGACTTCCAGTACTATGTTGAATAAAAGTGGTGAGAGGGACATCCTTGTCTTGTTCCTGATCTTAGGGGAAAAGCTTTCAGTTTTTCACCATTGAGTTTGTTAGCTGTGGGTTTTTCATATATGGCCTTCATTATGTTGATGTTTATTCCCTCTAAGCCTACTTTGTTGAGGGTTTTTTTCATGAATGAATGTTGCACTTTGTTGGATGTTTTTTTCTGCATCTATTGAAGTGATCATATGGTTTTTATCCTTTTTATTATAGATGAGATATATCACCTTGATTGATTTGCAAATATTTAACCACCCTTACATCCTGGGAATAAATCCCACTTGATTGTGGTGAATGATTTTTTTTTAATGGATTGTTGGATTCGATTTGCTAATATACTTTAAAGATTTATTCATTTATTTTAGAGAGAGAGTGCATGCAGTCACTAGGTGCCCTGATTTGCTAATATTTTGGTGAGGATTTTTGTATCTGTGTTCATCACAGATAGTAGTACATTTATCTGGTTTTGATATGGGGGCAATACAGGCCTCATAGTTTTCCTTCCTCTTCTATTTTTTGAAATAGTTTTGGAATATTTTAATAGTTTTAAACATTCTTTAAATGTTTGGTAGATGTGAAGCCATCTGGTCCTGGACTTTTGTTTGTTGCGAGTTTTTTTTATTATGGATTCAATTTCATTACTGGTAATCTGTTTAAGTTTTCTATTTCTTCTTGATTCAGTTTTGGAAGGTTATGTTTCTAGAAATTCATCCATTTCTTCTAAGTTGTCCAATTTGTTGGCATATAGTTTTTCATAATCTCTTGCAATCCTTTGTATTTCTGAGGTGTCGGTTACTATTTTTCCTCTTTCATTTCTGATTTTTTTTTTTTTTTTTAGTCCTGTCTTTTGATGAGTCTGGCTAAGGGTTTACCAATTTTGTTGATCTTTTCAAAGAACCAGCTCTGGTTTCATTGATCTGTTCTATATTTTAGTTTCTATATCATTTATTTCTGCTCTAAACTTTATTTCCTTTCTTCTACTGGTTTTGGATTTTGTTTTTCTGGCTCCTTTAGGTGTAAGGTTAGTTG